GAGACTTAGACTCCCACACAATAATATTGGGAGACTCTAACACCCCATTGTCAATATTAGACAGATCAACCAGACAGAAAATTAACAAGGATATCCAGGACCTGAACTCAGACCTGGAACAAACAAGCCTAATAAACATTTACAGAACTCTCCACCCCAAATCCACAGAATATACATTCTCCTTAGCACCACATCACACCTACTCTAAAATTGACCACATAATTGGAAATAAATCATCCCTCAGCAAATGCAAAAGAACGGAAATCATAACAAACAGTCTCTCAGACCACAGCTCAATCAAGTTAGAACTCAGAATGCAGAAACTAACTCAGAACCACACAGCTTCATGGAAACTGAACAACTTGCTCTTGAATGTTGACTGGATAAACAATGAAATGAAGGCAGAAATAAAGATGTTCTTCAAAACCAACGAGAATGAAGACACAACACACCAGAATCTCCGGGACAGATTTAAAGCAGTCTCTAGAGGAAAATATATAGCAATAAGTGCCCACATGAGAAGAAAGGAGAGATCTAAAATTGAAACCCTAGCATCAAAATTGAAAGAGTTAGAGGAGCAAGATCAAAAAAACTCAAAACCTAGCACAAGACAAGAAATAACTAAATCAGAGCAGAACTGAAGGACATAGAGACACAAAAATCCCTTCAAAAAATCAATAAATCCAGGAGCTGGTTTTTTGACGAGATCAACAAAATAGACCACTAGCCAGATTAATAAAAACGAAAAGAGAGAATAACCAAATTGATGCAATAAAAAACGATAAAGGGGATATCACCACAGATTCCACAGAAATTCAAACCATCATCAGAGGTTATTATAAACAACTCTATGCACATAAACTAGTAAACCTGGAAGAAATGGATAAATTCCTGGACACTTGAGTCCTCCCAAGCCTAAACCAGGAAGAAGTTGAAACCCTGAATAGACCAATAACAAGGTCTGAAGTTGAGGCAGCAATTAAGAGCCTACCACCCAAAAAAAGCCCAGGTCCAGATGGGTTCACAGCCAAATTCTATAAGACATACAAAGAGCAGCTGGTACCATTCCTTCTGAAACTATTCCAAACAATACAAAAAGAGGAAATCCTTCCCAAATCATTTTATGAGACAAGTATCATCCTGATTCCAAAACCTGGCAGAGACTCAACAAGAAAAGAAACTTCAGGCCAATATCCATGATGAACATAGATGAAAAAGTCTTCAATAAAATACTGGCAAGCCGATTGCAACAGTACATCAAAAAGCTTATCCACTATGATCAAGTAGGCTTCATTCCAGGGATCCAAGGCTGGTTCAACATACACAAGTCTATAAACGTAATTCACCACATAAACAGAACCAAAGACAAAAACTACATGATTATCTCAACTGATGCAGAGAAGGCCTTTGACAAAATTCAACAGCCCTTTATGCTAAAAACCCTCAATAAACTAGGTATTGATGGAACGTATCTCAAAATAATAAAAGCTATTTATAATAAACCAACAGCCAATATTATACTGAATGGGAAAAAACTGGAAGTGTTCCCTTTGAAATCTGGCAGTAGACAAGGATGTCCACCCTCACCACTCCTATTCAATATAGTACTAGAAGTTCTAGCCAGAGTAATTAGGCAAGAAAAAGAAATAAAGGGCATTCAAATAGGAAAGGAGGAAGTCAAATTGTCTCTATTTGCAGATGACATGATTGTATATCTAGAAGACCCCATTGTCTTAGCCCAAAATCTCCTGAAACTGAAAAGCAACTTCAGCAAAGTCTCAGGATACAAAATCAATGTGCAAAAATCACAAGCATTCCTATGCACCAATAACAGACTTAAAGAGAGACAAATCAAGAACGAACTGCCATTCACAATTGCTACAAAGAGAATAAAATACCTAGGAATACAACTAACAAGGAATGTAAAGGACCTCTTCAAGGAGAACTACAAGCCACTGCTCAACGAAATAAGAGAGAACACAAACAGATGGAGAAACATTCCATGTTCATGGTTAGGAAGAATCAGTATCATGTAAATGGCCATACTACCCAAAGTAATTTACAGATTCAATGCTATTCCCATCAAGCTACCAATTACCTTCTTCACAGAACTGGAAAAAACCACCTTAACACTTCATATGGAACCAAAAGAGAGCCCGCATAGCCAAGTCAATTCTAAGCAAAAAGAACAAAGTGGGAGGCATCACACTACCGGACTTCAAACTATACTACAAGGCTACAGTAATCGAAACAGCATGGCACTGGTACCAATACAGAGATATAGACCAATGGAATAGAACAGAGGCCTCAGAGGCAACACAATATATCTACAACCATCCGATCTTTGACGAACCTGAAAAAAACAAGCAACAGGGAAAGGATTCCCTGTTTAATAAATGGTGTTGGGAAAACTGGCTAGCCATGTGCAGAAAGCAGAAACTGGACCCCTTCCTGACGCCTTACACTAAAATTAACTCCAGATGGATTAAAGACTTAAACATAAGACCTAACACTATAAAAACTCTAGAAGAAAACCTAGGCAAAACCATTCAGGACATAGGCATAGGCAAGGACTTCATGACCAAAACACCAAAAGCATTGACAACAAAAGCCAAAATAGACAAATGGGACCTAATCAAACTCCACAGCTTCTGCACAGCAAAAGAAACAGTCATTAGAGTAAGAATCGGCAACCAACAGAATGGGAAAATTTTTTTTCAGTCTACTCATCTGACAAAGGGCTGATATCCAGAATTTGCAAAGAACTAAAACAGATTTACAAGAAAAAAACAAACAAGCCCATTCAAAAGTGGGCTAAGGATATGAACAGACACTTTACAAAAGAAGACATACATGGGCTAACAAACCTATGAAAAAATGCTCATCAACACTGGTCATTAGAGAAATGCAAATAAAAACTACATTGAGATACCATCTCACGCCAGTTCGAAGGGTGATCATTAAAAAATCTGGAGACAACATGCTGGAGAGAATGTGGAGAAATAGGAACACCTTTACACTGTTGGTGAGAGTGTAAATTAGTTCAACCATTGTGGAAGACAGCGTGGCGATTCCTTAAGGACCTAGACATAGAAATTCCATTTGACCCAGCAATCCCATTACTGGGTATATATCCAAAGGATTATAAATCGTTCTACTATAAGGACACGTGCACACGAATGTTCATGGCAGCACTGTTTACAATAGCAAAGACCTGGAACCAACCCAAATGCCCATCGATGATAGACCGGACAGGGAAAATGTGGTACATATACACTATGGAATATTGCTAAACAAGCAAACATTACAGAGCAAAATATGTGAAATGCTGCCAACACAGTACTTAGGTAAAAGGCATACTTTTAATAACTTATTACAATATAAATGAAAGGGTGAAAATAAATTAATTAAGCTTCCAACTCAAAAAGATAAAGAATAACAAGATAAGTTGAAGGGAAAAAAAATGAATAACTATAGATAAAAAGCAAAAATTTAAAAATTAAGAGTTTCCTTCATGTAAATGCATTATGATTAAAATGAAATAAGTTCAAAAAATAGAAAATACCATTAACTAATGACCCACCATTTTTGTTTCAGACATTATGAATTCAAGTCCAAAGAGATTAAGGTGTCACACAAAGCCAGAACTAAAATCTAAGTCTTTTTACTCCCAGTCAAGTGCTCCCATGGCAAAATTTGGAAAAGGTATATATTAAGGTGAGTTAGATAATCATAAGGAGGGTCTTGAAGGAAGTCTAAATGGGGACAGAACAGAAGATTGTAGGCTGGAAACCTGTGACAATAGAAATCGCAAGGCAAGTCCTCACACTTGGGGAAGTCCAAAAGAATGTTTATTGGATGCTCACTTCGGCAGCATATATACTAAAATTGGAATGATACAGAGAGGATTTCATGGCCCCTGTGCAAGGATAACATGCAAATTCATGAAGCATTTCATATTTTTCAGAGAAGGAAGAATAAAATATCAAGGAGCATGAAAAAACTTGTGGTGCTGATAGATATGTTTATTATCTTTATTTGTAGTGATGATTTTGCAAGTGTACACTATGTCAAGATAACAAATTGTACATTTTAAGTATGTGTGATTTGCTGTATGTCAAGTATCTCTCAGTAAGATTTTAGCAAGACATTTATTATAATAAAATATAAAAGAAGAAACAAATGTTTACACGTGTTAGTTGATGATAATGAGGAGAATAAATCCATAGAGGCATAAATATTTAATAGATAAATTATAAACATTCTTATGAAAGATAACATTTTAAATAAAGAGCTGATAGCCAATGCATTAGCCTGAGATTGTACAAATTACATTTTGAAACTATATATAATAAAGTAAGCATTTAATGTCAAAAAGAAAGTGTTAAGTAAAACTCACATTACCTGGGAAAACTGCCTGTGGTGAAAGTAGATATTTCCTGCATTAAAGTAAGCCAGCGAGTACTTGGGGTTTAGAGAAATTGCTTCTTGATAGTCTTTCATTGCATTCTGTTTATGGCCCATAAACTCATGAATCACCCCACGATTTGTTAAGAATTCTGCTGTAGTATTGATCTGCAGTATAATATTATGATTATTTAACATCTAGGAATAGTATTTATCTCTGATTTCATGTCTGCCAAAATGAACATTATGGAATCTACTTGTGGGAAGCTAGTAATTTTATGGTGCATGTAAAACCCCAGTAGAACAAATATTTTGAGAAAGGCGTTTCTATGAAGTTGGTTCAATGTCAACACTTTGTTGATTTGGTTGCAATAAAACAAATAACCTTAGTGTTTTTTCACTCAGTTCCATTCCAAGGAATAGACAAATTGGAAAAGTTTATCTGTTTAGCTGTTAAGCTAGAGAAGAAATTAAATTGAATAGTAAACAGGCTTATTTGTCCTGTGTAATAGCAATTATCTTTCAGTTATTTCCTTTTCCTCATCTCAAACATTACATCTGCCCAAATCTACAGAAACAAAACCCAAAAGCTAGAAGTAAAGAAGAGTTCCTGTCAGTGCATTCAGTATGAGATTTTTACTTGTCATTTCACTGAAGGAAGATTCTGGGGATTTACATTGTTCTTTCTTTAGTTCCTTCAAACCTAGAACATTATTTTATGTTGTGCATTTGCTCTGTATTACATAATAATATTGATGTCCCGCAAAAGTATAAACCGTATTTACTGAGTGTAATCAACATTTAGCAGGATTTCGGGGTTTTCGTGCATTTAGGTTATAAAATTGGCAAGAAATAACTCTGCTATAGGGATCTCTTGGGTAAAAAATACACAAAACATTATTTTCTCCATAAGTCACTTTAAAAAGCTAACAGAGACTTCTTACTTGAACCTACTCATTGACAGTGTTAATTTATGCTAATAATAATATAATCTAAGATGGTTTTTACCTTCATGGCAGCATTAATATCCTGCATTGCAGCAAAATTATTACCCATCTGAAGACAGACCACAGCTCTTCCTTCATAGGCTAAGTAATTCTTTGGATCAATATCCATGGCAATGGTAAAGTGATTCCAAGCTTTCTGGAATTTTCCTTGGATCTAGAATAATTTTCCAATTACACAAAGTAGAAAATAGTCCATAACATGACAAATGTTTATGATTCTGACTAAATCAAATAAAACCTTTAGTAAGGGTATATTTATGCTGTGCTAAATCTAAGTTATTTGAAACCAGAAAATAGGCATACTGAATGCATACCATGGCTGCATTCAGTTGACTCATTACTTCTGAGTATTTATGAAGAAATTTTAATTAATTAAAATTAATTTAACTTCAGAGTCCTCTCCTATACCAATCCTGGACAACATAAAATCATGGCTACCATGTGAAAGGCCAATGGTGTTGACCAACACCAAAAAATTCACATACAGCTCCACACACACAGGAAGGGATTGTATTTATTTCCTTGGCACTGAATCTCCAGTTATAGATAATATATACATAATATACATAATGAAATAAATATGTATTGAATAATAAATGAATAAACATGGTATAAAACATATTCTGATAAATCATGCTAGCATCTGGAGCTTTAGGATCACTATACACATTCCATGGAAAATACATGTAAATCTACCGAGCTTCTGTTGATACCAACTGAAAAAGAAAGAAAAGATCAGGAGAGGCGCATTGTTAATAGAACAATGTCAGAGTGCTTCCTAGAGAAGACCAGCTGGCAACTAAATGCCTCCACAAGAAGGCAGTGAGTTAATAAATTCAGTAGAGTCTGGAATCTGTCTTTTTTTCCCGAAGGGCTCAAACATCCATCTTGCCAGAATCTCAGAGTTGACTCACTTTAACCAAGCTGAGCCTAGGGACTCACATAAAAATAAAAAAAAAAAAAAAAAAAAAAAAAAAACCACAACTGTTAAGGGAACAAGACCCTGTCTCCTGACCAGCAAATCTTCTCTCTCTGGGTAAACAATTTGTAAAGCCACACTGTCAACACAAACTCATTTAACAAACAAGGAATCAGGCAAATTGAGATTAGATTATTAGACTATTAAATAGCAAACTGCCTCACAGTAAGAACTCTGTCATCTGCTCCAGACCACATCTGTTGTGCTCACTTCTGTATTTCTAGTGCTAGGCAAATAGTAAGGGAATCTAAGTATTTGTTGAATAAACTGTTGCTCTTTACCCACACAGAACTCAGATGAGTATAACTCTCCTTTTGCAGTCCTCCTTCCTGACTCAATTCTTTACATGGCTGTGTTTTTCAATTTTTTTCAGGTTGCTATATGCCCAGTGGGATATTCAGAAAATGTAAATTTGTTGTCACGTCTCCTATTAATGCTATTCACATGTTTCACTGGACCATAAGGCCTTCAACTCCAGCCTCATCTCATAACCTGCTCCTTTTGCCCATAACATTCCAACCACTTTGGCCCTCTTTTTTACAAGACTTTCTGATTGGCTGATTCCACTCTATGGAATACTGTATCCTCGCCACAGCCCCTACTTTCACACCTCAACACTGTTAATTTCTCAAAAAGCTTCTCTCACCTCTCAAACAAAGAGAGGTGACAAGTTATTTTGTGACATTATACTAAAACTCATCCTTTTCCTTTCTTGCACTTATCGTGATTATAATCAATTATTCATACGATTAACTGTTTGATGCCTATCTCTCCACTGGGTAGTAAACTCTGCAAGAAGAATGAAGTATATTTTGTTCTTTGCTATATCCTCAGGCCTAGAGTAGTTTCCATTCTATATTTAGTGCTCAGTTAATGTCTGTTGAATGCAATGAATGATGATGATGTTAACATATTTCACTGGATTGCATTCAGCTCTAGCTGCCTTGGAAATCACTCTTTAAGTGGACTTTGCAAATTTCTACTGTGATCCAATAATGGCTAATTTTCTTCCCTTTAGCTTTCCACTAATGCAATAGGACAAAACCTGTGGAGCCTAGGTATACAAGCTAGCAAAATAAATGTTACTCAGGTTCTTAAAGACGAACTTCATCAGACAAATTTTAAAAGTTGTATATAAGTGTAGCAGGAAGGTAGGGAGGAGGGTAGACATAAAGGAAACGCAGGTTCAAAAGATTTTCATCTAACCAGCCTACCAGCTCCCCAAACTGATCCAGATCCAGGCAGGCTCTCTATAAGTAATGAAATCCCCTGCTTCCACTACTACTCTGGAGCCCAAAAGTAAGGAAAAAGTAAATGTTCATAACCAAAGAAATAACATATACTCCCATCGCCAGGAAAGGGCCAAATATATTCTTCCTTCCCAAAGGATGCTTTTAATGCTCAAAATGTTGCTATGTTACCTGTAAATTATAGCCCAAACTAATTCTGGCTTTTATGTATCCTGGATTAATATGCAGTGCTTTCAGAAAGTCTTTCTGTGCTTTCTTGGTGGCTTCATCAAGACTGTATTCCATGTAAGAATTTCCCCTTCCAACATAAGCATCCAGAAAACATGGGTTAATTTTAAGAGCCCAGGTAAAGAAATTGATGGCTTCTTCAAACTCATTAATTCTGCAAATAAATAAAAATATTAATGCCTCTGGTAAACTGATGCATTCTGGTGACATATGCAATGTTTTCCTGTATCTGGCTTTTCCATAAAGATTTGAATTGACTCATAAAAAAATCTGCATTTCTATTACCCATTGAAGGAGGTAAGGACATCAGTCCATAGGACCTAAGGAAGTGTGACAGGTCTTTGAAGATTTTGGTAAAAGGAAAGATGGCAAGAAAGAGTCATTTGCATAGCAGAATGTGATGGGATAATATTCTGGATTTATTTCAAGTTATTTAAGTCCACATGACATTTCTAAACATGTTTTTAACAGGTATCAGTTACCAGTAAAGAGAAACATATGCTACAATTGATGAAATCTACTTTTAAAATCAGATTAAAATAAACTTATTTATATGTATTTAATATTTCCTTATACAATGAAAACAGCCAGATTTTCATCACATGGAAGTCCTTACTTCAGGTCTCCTATAAAGGCAGGCCATTTCACTGTGGACACCAGGAGAGAAGAGGAGAAAAAGAAGTAAAATGCATTTTATTTATCAAATTTGTGAATGTATGTGGCTAAATGATAACTCTGTCTCTCTATCCTCCCTAATTACTCTCTTGTGGTGGAGGTTAAGGCTGTTAAAGGCATCAAACATTTGTTGATGGGCATAAAAAATCACTTCTCCATTTCATATGTATATCTAATAATAATATTTAGTTTCAATTAATATGGAGTTTAGGCTTTTAAAAAATAGAATGACGAAACTAGCATTGTTTACTTACCAGGTACTGTGCTAAATACTTAACAAATGCTATTTCCTTTAATCCTTCCAACAACTCTGTAAGGTAGTTATAATTATCTACATTTTACAGATGAAAAGAAAATCATGGGTCAGAAAAATCTGCACACAGGAAATGATACACTAACATATTATGTTTGCACAGAG